AGGAATCAGAGTAATCAAGGTGTCATTTAAGCTCTTAAGCATTTGACCTGAATCAAAGAAGCTAAGGACAGCAGAACAAATATCATGACCAACACAAGACCAAAGATATTGAAAGAAAAGAGTAGTCACTCCATTTCATCTTTTAGTTAGCCCATTTTTTTTCTCATATATTTCAATTTTTTTTTTTCTCATATATTCCTATTTTTTCCCTTTCATCTTTCATTTGGCCAAAGTTTTCTTTCATATATTCATTTTCTTCTCTTTCCATAGGCAGCAAGGATTTTTTATTTTTTTTTCCAATTTCAATAATCCTTACCCTCTTGTGATTGATAGTCCTCAATTCCTTTGAAGTCGGATTTGTGGTTCATCAGTCCATACACCAAACCCTTTACGAATACACCAAAACCTCTTCCCCTTCCAAATTCCTTTGCACGATGATCATCCGACCACTTCTGGACATTGAAATCCTTTGGCAGAAGGTCCCGAGATTCGATGCCTTTGACTGAGATTGTGGACAGGGCTGCCACAGTGTCACCTCGTAGAAGGTTGTCATGGATTAATTTTTTTTTATTACTATTTTTGTTCTTGTTTTTGGCTTAGGAATTTTAGCGCTACAGATTTTAGGGTGTTTCTTAATGTTCTTTCAGGGACGAATTAGTCATTTTGGTCAGAAATTGAAAAGTGGATAAAACAAAAAACCCACAATTTCTGGATCAAGTTTATCACCTGACTCAAAGATTAATCCACAGGCTATCACACAGGCAACAATCCTAGTGACAAATTACGACATCCTATGCTTTCCCACCAACCAAAACGAGGTGTAGTGTCCTGCTATGTAAACTACAAAGAACTACAAACCATTGTATCAAATTTGTTAATTTCACTCATCATCAGATTCTAAGGGATTGGTGAATGAAATGGATATCGATGCCAAATCATGTGAACAAATGTTCACAAAACCAAACCTATAAAACACACGAAAACCCAATGCTATACATACAATGCTCACGTTTTGGAAACAAGGCACAAATATGTAATGTTGCACAACATTAAACAAAGGTTTTATTAGGGGTGGGATTTTAAAATCAGGAACCGAAAAAACGAGCCGAGCCGAACCGAAATTAACCGGTTCGGTTCAGTTATTCCCTAAAAAAAATGCAATTTTGTCGGTTCGGTTCTACAGGCTAGAAATCGGTTCCCGATTTTCGGTTATTAACCAGCGTACTTACACTTAACCGAGGAACAGGGAAATTGCATAATTATAGGGATTGGTTCAAATAAAAACTAGTCCTGGTATGAGAACCGTGAGAACCATTTTTTATGCTATTTTTAATTGTGTATGATGCTATTTTTCATATTAGATGATGCTATCATTTTTACAAGTGCTACCAAAAAATGTGTTGCTATTTTTAATAAAATTTATTTTGGTTAAAAATAGCATCAAACACAATCAATCATAGCACTACGTCCAAATAAAAATAGCGGTTCTCACGGTTCTCACACCAAAACTAGGTTCTCATTTGAACCACATTCTATATATATATATATATATGTCATATATACTACTATAGAATCAAAGAGTGTATAACGTCTAACTACCACACTAATTTATTTTACCTGAGTTTGATCCAAAAGATGGTGGAACTAGAGATGTTAAATGGCCCTTGGCCCGAGGGCCGGCCCGTTTAGCCCGGAAAAAAATAGGGTTAGGTCCTTTTATTAGTAGCCCGTTTAAATCAGGGCTTTTTAGGCCCGGACCGTTTAGCCCGAAGCCCGCTAGGGCTAGCCCGGAACCCGCTAGGGCTGGCCCGTTTAACTAGGGTTAGGCGGTGTAAATATTTGCATTAAGTAAGTAATATGCTCTTAGATT